CTATTGCTAACAACATGATACAACAAAATCACTAGTAGTCAACATTCATTTTAAGCTGCATTCTTGTTTTATAGAAACTTTCATTTCAGCAATTATTACTGGCTTTGTAGCATAGACAATCTTCAGTCTTAGGTATTCTCACAAGAAAAGTCTAAAAGGAGTGAGGTCTGGTGAACAAAAAGGATATTCTACTGAACCCAGTCTTCTGATCAATCTATTTTGCAATATTTGATTTAGGTATGATCATACATCACTATGATAGTGTAGTGGTGATCTGTCTTGCTGGAAATAAAATTCCTCACCTTCCAAAACTCCTAATTCTTGGCATGATAAACTGTTGCAAGGTTAGGGTGTATACATTTGAGAGACCCTATATGCATATATATATATATATAAAAAATCTCATTCAGAGTTTTGCAATACGGTAAAATATGAATCTTATCTACCTCAACTGATCCAGGGCTAATTTGCCTAAAGATGAAGCATATGCAAGCAAGCATGCGGTAGAAAAACTTTCAAATTAAGAAAAATCTACAGACAACATCAAGAAAACAAAAGACATGCAGTTAAATGAGTAATGGTAATAATAATAATAAATAAAGTACATATCAAAAAACAAAAAATACAAAAAACACAAAAACATTGCCGAGACACATCAAACCCTTTTGAACTTACCTTACAGAACGAAATCTAAAAACAAAAAATATAAATAAACAAATGAAGTTTAAAGACTGACTCTGAGATAATAGTTGTGATTGATTTGTTTGCTTGCTTAATGGCAGATTGACTCCTTAAAGACTATTTAATACTGGAATTTAATTTTCTGTGAGCTTTCAAGTATTAAAAATATGACATTTTATTCTGCCTTCACGATTGTATACATGGTAGATGATACTTAGCTTTTGTGGACTTAATTGGAGATGGTGATATGTGTGTTTTATGTTGCAGTTTTTTTTTTAAGTTATATTTTGGAATATGGTTTAAGAAATTGAGGGGGTTTATATAGATTTTTCATGTTGGTTGTTTCTGGATTTTTTGGATGTTGGATTTTTTTTTGTGGCAACATGTCAACCTCTATAGGTTATTTAATGCTAAAATCTAAATATTTGAACACAATTTTATAGCTACAAATAAAACGGCGTGTCGGACAGTCGGCTCCAAAAACGGCGTGTCGGACAGTCGGCTCCAAAAACGGCGTGTCGGACAGTCGGCTCCAAAAACGGCGTGTCGGACAGTCGGCTCAAAAACGGCGTGTCGGACAGTCGGCTCCAAAACGGCGTGTCGGACAGTCGGCTCCAAAAACGGCGTGTCGGACAGTCGGCTCCAAAAACGGCGTGTCGGACAGTCGGCTCCAAAAACGGCGTGTCGGACAGTCGGCTCCAAAAACGGCGTGTCGGACAGTCGGCTCCAAAAACGGCGTGTCGGACAGTCGGCTCAAAAACGGCGTGTCGGACAGTCGGCTCCAAAACGGCGTGTCGGACAGTCGGCTCCAAAAACGGCGTGTCGGACAGTCGGCTCCAAAAACGGCGTGTCGTGTCGGCGACAGTCGGCTCCAAAAACGGCGGCGTGTCGGAAAACAGCAGTCGGCTCCAAAAAAACGGCGTGTCGGACAGTCGGAAAAACGGCGTGTCGGACAGTCGGCTCCAAAAACGTATTGCTGATATTTTTGCTATAAAAATGTATTTTTATACTTCCAACAGCAATTAAGATTTTTGTCACCTGCTCCTCAAAACCTCCAATCTCCTGATCAAAGGCCTTGCTGATGAATGTAATTTATCATCATATCCAGGACTAAGATAAAAGTTGTGAGTCGACCAAGAAGATTTTTCAGTAAATTGACTTCCTCCAATCCAATTGTTTCTTTTATATATAAGAGTTTCAATAATGAAAGAATCATCTTAAATTGAGCAGCTTTTCTGCTTACAAAGACATTCATTACTTTTACATTCCCAAAAGAGTACTTGAAAGTGTTATCCATGAAATAAGGTCAACATATTCTTTTAAAATAAATTTTAGAAGTTCCAGGTCTTGTACTTTGGGTTAGTCAATGACTAGAAAAAGAAAAAAAAAGTGCTCAATGATAATATGGAAGAACATTTATATTCTGTTTTATTAATCCAGTGTACATTTGACCACAATTTTCAATTTCTTGTGCACTAATGCAAACAGTCATCAGGTGGTCAGTACTTGTCTTTTTGGTAAAATGAGCATTTATCTCCCTTATGTTTACTCTAGTTGTTACAATGAGGGTAATTGGCAAATGCATACATGCACCTATATTCACCATCTACTCTGATTCTAACAAATTGAATTAACATTAACTCCTATAGTGTAAATGTGTTACCAATTTGGTCATGGGATGTCATTAAGATAAAGAAAAGTTTAATTCCCTACTTAAGGAATGCACATCTTTTGCTGGGACTTCAAATCTATATTTGATAACTTCATTTTTGTACAAGAAATGTAAACACTAAATTTTAAATAGTTTATTATATTTTTATTATTTTCATTATTTTTACTTTCATTGTAATAATAATAATGATACTAATAACAACACCACCACCATCGCCTTACATATTATGATAAACATTATTTACCGAGTAGATATTTTTGAGTTGACATCCTTTTTATTTTTAACCCCACCTCTTCAAACATTGAAATTAAAAGCAACTAGCATAAATCAAGAAGTTCTACATGCCATCCAATCAACTGAGGCTACTTGATATTAATTTCATTGTTTAGAAAATGAACAGGTCCTTCAACTTAAACATGTACTCACTTAAAATGATGTGTCCGGTGGAAGAGGGGCATATTCAACAAAAAAAAAAAAAAAAAAATTAAACTTGCTTTTTTTTTTTTTTTCCCCACTGCAAATTATTCATTATATCATATGCATTATATAATTTTACAAAATATTGGAGTCAATTACACAATATTTCAAGCTCAATTCAGGTATATAGTTTGTAACCATGCAATGAGATAAACCATAGATTTGTTATTGTTACATAATTACAGTGAAATCATCAAGGTTCTTTGTCAAAAGCATTTTATTTTTGGTTGTATATTAATTTAAAATATTCCTTTTTACAGGCTATATTTTTGAAACAAAACAAGATCATTCTAAATTTCAGAATTTCACTATTGACCATGAAAATGACTGGAAGAAAGCAATCTAAAAAACGATGGAAAAGAGAGGTAACAAAGCGTAAACGAAATAGCTCCAGTTTGTTCAACTTAGGAAACTTAGCATTGCAGCCAAAGTATTCTAAAATTTTGCCAATAACAAAGGAGAAAATGAAAAATACCCAACAACAAGTCAAATATAGCATCAAAATTTATATTTTTATTTATTTGTTATACATAATTGTCAATAATGTTTCCATAAAACTTGGTATTTCCTGTAATAAATTCTTAATTATTATTTTACTGAAGTATAAGGTAGTCCCATATTTACAATTCCTTACAACTAACCATGAAAAGAAATGTTGATCAAAACTACCTAAAACCTTTATGTATGTATTGCCACAAAATTATCAAAACGTTGAATACACCCCTCCTCTGCTGAAAAAGTCAAATAATATTTACTAGTTTTTACTCATGAAAATTTCATGGTTTTCCTATTTAAAAATCCTGGTGAATCTTAATTCTTCAGTTAATGATTGAATAAGTTCATGGCAAGTTCTATAACAATAAAATATCTCCCCTATCACATTGTTACATATTTGAGCTTTGCAACTTGAAAATATTGCATTAACAGTCATGAATATGAATGCTGGTCATTATTTTAAGTAATGAGGTACAAATGAAAAGATTTGAAATTGACAAATTTCTCTATTTCACTGAAACAGAAATTAAACACTTATCTTCCCTTCTTTCTTTTTCTGACAAACCAACTGACATGTCTTCTCATGTGATCAAAACAGAACAGTCCTTTATTTATGAGATATTGGTAGGGTGTAACAGTCGTGCAAACTAAGAAACTAATGAAGAGAGGCAAACAATTATTATATGATATTAAAAAAACAAATGCAGAACAATAATCATGAAAGTTATCTCTCAGTCTTCAGTCAAATTAAGTTCAAGTGGAACTCTTCTATCCAATCTATTGTCAATGATGCTGCAAAAATGGTCAACTAATTCTACCACACTCGAAAGTATGAGACCTGTTCCATGCTTTATATTTATAAGTGTCAAATTAAACCAAAAATGGGGTATTGCAGCTTGGTTAGAGCTACTCAATTTCCAGCCTTGATAGAATTCAAAACTGAATGTGTTCTTGAGTGTAAGGACTTATTTTTGACTCTGCAACAGCTTCTCTCCCACCCACAGATGTAATATTACAAAACTGTCACTACTTTCATAGCAAATGTTCAGATATGAGTGGACCATCACAGCTAGAACTCATTGCCAATTCCGTCCTCTTTTCCTGTGTTCAGAGTATATGAAAGTTTTACTCAAGCAGCTTTTTCTCCACAATATTGAGCGATTTGGGCTTTTTTTTTTTTTTTTTACAGTTTACCAACACCAGGCATTATTTAAATTCAAAACATTTTGGATTGCAAATTTGTATATATTTTTGTTTTTTTTGCATAAGTGAATATCACATTAACAATTTTTTTGAGAATGATTTTTCCAAAATTCAATTTTTATTTAACCCATAGCTGAGGGGAAGAACTCATACTTTTCTCCAGGGTATTTGTGTGTAAGTAAATTAACAAATCCAAGCATGCCCACCCAAAGAAGTGCCACTTTGTGCAATAGACATTGGCAGGGGGGGGGGCTTCCTTAGCACCACAATCTTGACCTCTTCAAATAAAGGGTCAATCATCATCTTAATCTTTTATCACTAACTCTTTCATATCACATCATTCACGTTTTGCTGATTGTAACTATACTTGGAGTGGCTCGCAAGCCTTGTATTGGGTGAATTTTAGTAAATAAAAAAATACCAAAAAATGAACAGAGATTAAAAAAAAAAAAAAAAAAAAAAAAAAACTTACGTATCAGCTAAAAAGGCCATTCTTTTCATTTTTTCTTCAACAGGTACAAGCTCCCGCTCCAAGTTCTGCAAAAGGAATGACAATTGGAAGATTTATAGTTTTGTATTCAATTTGTTCCCACCCCACAAAAACAGGATGTTTTGTTTTTATTATTATTCACACAATACAAGGCCTAATTGCCACTTTTATCATGCAAAAAATTGTTCAAAAAAAATAAAATAAAAATCCTTTTGTGTGCCATTTGTTTTTTTTTTTTTAATGGTATTTTGAGGTATTATTGTGTCCCACCCCTGCAGGACATATAAAGTTGTAGAAAGCCAGGATCACCTATCTCACAAGGTTCTTAGCAGTTTTTCTCCCTTTGCTAAGGCTGAAAACCCTCTTTCCCCATCCAGTCTCACAAGCTTCTCAGATAAGTGGTTCGCTGTCTTCCCCTGTCTCTCTTGCCCACAATATTCTCTGTTGGAGTTAAATTTTCAAAGCCCTCTTTATTATGTGTCCAAAGAGTTTCAGCTATCTTTTCATGATTTTGAGTATAACCGTTCTTTCTGTTGCCATTTTCTTTAAGACTTCCGCATTGATGACTTGCTCCATTCATAGAATTTTTAGTATCCTTCAGTAGAATCACATTTCTGCTGCTTCTATCATCCAACATTCACTGCCATACAAGAGGATGGATATCACATAATAGGTTACCAAAAGTACTGACCAATACAATCCTTGCTGACTGATAATTTCATACCTCTGCATACAAATTACCATTTAAATTTTTTTTAACACGTGTATGGTAACTTGAAAGAGCAAATGACATGAGTGCTGCTAGTGAGGGGAAAAGACAAGAATTTTTAATATAAAATTTTTTGTAATGCCAATACAGTGGATGTGAGTGGAATGTCTCTGTGGACAAGGGAAGTAACTTGAAAAAATAGTACAGTTAGTAGGGCCTGATGTTGATGTATGTGTGGGGTCACTTGACTGAAGTAAAGGTGGTGATGTTGACAGCTTGCCTGTTCACCATGATTCTATTAGTGTTAGGAGTGGCGTTCTTAAAAGCAAATGTGGTGGATCATGACTTTTTTTCCTTTGGTGGCAACACTCATGATTGTCTCCTTTAATATTGTATTTATATTTTTTTTTGAGGGGGGGGGATTTGTTTTGTTATTTTCTCAGTATTCACATCCAACTGACAGGTAGTGTTAATTAGAAAGATCTAATTTGAAGCAGAGTATAACAGTGCTAAATGGAGCTAGCTGCCTTCAAATTAGTGTTCATTTATTTACCTAATGACTTGAATATCAAAGCTAAAACTTTTTCTTACATGGATTATAATGAAGGTTTTATTTTTCTCAAGAAAAAAATTTTCTTTAAACCTGCTAACTGTATTTTAATCCAATTATATACAATTGATTTTTTTTTTTAATTATAAAATCACTAAGTCCATATACCATGTTGCTTCAGGTGGGTGATTATAAATTTTCTTTGTTATCACTCCTAAACCTGGTTCTACCATCAATTTACTCAAGCTCATAGAGGTTGGTTATGCATTGCTTTCCACTCTACCTCTTGTGACTATCAAATTTTCCAAGCCCTCTTCATTATATACCCTAGAAATTTAAACCCACTCTTTCAGATATTAAGTATGTGTCCTTTTTGTTTACATTTTCTATCAAACCTTGTTGTTGCATACAAGTCCATGGTATTCTCAGCATCCTTCTGTAGAACTAAGTTTCTGCTGCTTCAAGTCACTTCACCTGTGAGGAGATTGCCATATAGGAGGACTGATATGATGTAATTTCTAACAAAGAGTTTCTATTTCTTAATACTTTTCTTAGCTTTTGAAAAGCATCTTTCACTATCCCAATGCAACTTCAGATTTCTCTGTTGCACTTTTTGTCTTCTGTTAAAATGCTTCCCATATATTTAAATTGTTGTACTTGATTGATTTTGATCTCTCTAATTGGTAATTTGAATGTTGGGCTGACAACCATGCATTCTGTCTTCTTGCAATTGATATTTAGTCCTTTCTTACCGTTTTCCTTCACTACATTCTGTAGTTCTTGTTTCCTTTTTTGTCTTCTATCAACACTGTCATTTGAATATATTTTGTTAAGATTGTGTTTGTCAATAATGAATCTTGGTAGGACTTTAAATCCCTCAGAATCACCTTGATGTATAGCTTGAATAAATTTGGTTTAAAAAGATACATCCTTGTCTTACACCCCTTTCAATTTTTGTATATTGACTGAATTTTACATCAGTCTGCAGGCATTTTGCAGCCAGTATAGGTTCTGGATTATTCTAATATCCTTCCAAAATATGGTCATGGTTACTTAACATTTCCAACAGTTGCTTAGAAAAAGCAAAAAACATTGTCAATAGATTCAAACTTACCAGATGTTTCCTGTGTAAATTTTTTGCAGCCTGCAAATCTTTGCCAAGTTCATCATCATAAAAGGCATTGTCTTTCTCACTGATCCATTCTTGAAGTTCATCGCATGTCAACTTAAACATTTCAATGCTGCAATAACAAGCAGAAATGAAGAGACTTGAAGCAAAAGAAATATTGTTCTACAGAAGGATGATGAGAATACCATGTACTGAACACAATAATGACAAGTTTTAGAGAGAATGGAAACAAAAAGGACACTCATACTTAAAATGAAAGGGAGAGAGAGAAATTATATATAAGTTTTAAAGTATGCTATCTTCATGATTAAAAGTGCTCAATATCAGACCAAGCATATGTAAAGTTAAAACTGGATACTGAGATCATCAAGCAGCAACTTGAGCACATCCTTCATAGCCTAAAGATTATCCTCAAGCATGAAACAGGCTGTTGCCATTTAGTGTTGACCTCAGTTACATTTTTTTTTTTTTTTTTTTTAACTTTTACACACCACATTTATTTCTGTGTGAATTTTTTTTTCATTAGATCTTATTAAAAATGCTAAAGCATAGAAGTAATTAACATTTTTAAATTTTTTGATATTATTTTCATCATCTGACAATTCAATTGAAGCACAGGTTGATTATATCATCTGGTTAATTTTACTGTGAAACTTACTTGCATATATACTTGTCACATTTTAATAATATCTAAGAAACCTAATATTGCACTATGTGGCTTGTTCTTCAAAATTTTGAGCACTGTATTCAACAAAATTAATGATTTGAATTTATATACAAGCTTATTACCAAAAGGGGACACAGTCACTACGTGAGCAAATGTGGTTGGCAAAATGGCACCCACTGACTTGTTACTAACCTTCAACTACAAAAAATGCAATATCTAAAAAGATCAAAGTAAAATGTAATACATGTCTTGTTCCTTTGGACACAATCTAGCAATTGCATTGTCACTGAAGTCTCTGATGTGGGCAGTAAAAATTTAGTCTATGCTTAGAAAGTCAAACTAGCACTAACAAAAATACTATTTTGAATGGCAAAATTTTCTAAATAAGTGAATACTTTATATCAGTGTTATGCTAAAAGGGTATAAGTGCCGTGTGTGAAATGAGAAAACAAAAACAGAAAACACGTACAATGCAAGATAAAGGTAACAATGCCACTAAGACGCAAAATGTTACAGGGAGCAAAAGACAATGAGGATTCTTACAGAGATCAGTTTGCTCATTTCAAATCTGAATACATGCAAAAGTCTGTATGTTAATTTAAACTCTTAAATCAAATTTGTAAAACACTTGCAAATTAGTGAGCCTTTTATAAACGTACCTTGAAGCACCTTCCAGAAGTTTTTCTTTCTCATTCTTCATTTTATTGAGATTATTCCAACTGTAATAAAATAAAGATTCTTTGAATTGGGCAGACAAAAGAGCATTAGAATACAAGGTGTCCATAAAGTTCGTGTGCACTATAAAAAATGTATAACTATTTGTATTTGCAATAGAAATAATCTGTAAAAAATGTTATAAAGTTTAATGTACCTAGTTTTAAGTATAGCTAAAATAACTGATTTCAGGCATTACTGTAAATCAGTTGGCAAATGTTTTCCATGAACTGCAAAATCATATTACCCTTTGTATTGCTAATGATGGAGGATATGTGGAAACTTAAATAAAATTTCAAAACCTTAAATATAGATTTACTTCTTTCTAATCCTTTTTACAAATTATTTCTATCACAAATACAAGTTATAAATTTTTCAAAGTGCACATGAACTTTATGGACAACTTGTATAAGAAATTATTGTAAATTAACAAAGTTTACAGAAATGACAGGGTGCAAATTTAAAATTAACTCATCTTAAAAATGGAGTATTTACATATTAATGAAACAAAAAATTGAAATATTAAAGTTAATCTGATGAAGGATGGACAATATATAAGCAAAAAGTAAAATAATCTTAGCAAATTTTCTATGTTATACAGTTATCTCCGTGCAACAAATTACCTTAAGCTAAACTAGCACAAGGCTGTGTGTGCTTTGCATGTAAATAGTTATTTGCAGTGTGAGAAGTGCACAGAAAAGTCAAAGATTTCAGATTGCTTTCAGCATTCGATCTTTGTTAAAGTGATAATTCTTTTGCTAATTTTAACTTACCGGTCAACAATTTGTTGTCGCCGAGATGCAACTTTGTCTTTTTGGCTACTTCCAGACTGGATTATTTCATCAGCCAAAGAATTGATTGAAACCAGACGACTTCGGTTGGCAGCAAGACTTGTTAATAGACTCTGAAAAAGACAATGCACACAGTCAAAATTAGATGAAGGCAAAAGAAAAAGCTTATCAAATTGACATACTTCAGTGTTTACTTATGTTAAAAGTGTAATAAGTATGGATACGTAATCCTGACAGTTATAAGTTATTAACATTTGGAAATATAATATCCAATAATGCATTTTGCCTATATGGCTTCATATTTTTTTTTTTTTTTATAAAGTGAATTATACTACTGGTCTACAGTGGGGAAAACAGGTTCAAACCCTACCTAAGGGCATATATTTTAGGCGAAAATATCCACTATAATTAGTCCTAAATTCTGATCTAAAATTTATAGTTACTGATAAATAGAAATGAGAATAATTGTAATGAACTGTTCTCTCAGATAGTTTAACAAAAGTTACACAAAATATACATATTCATACCATTATATCAACCAATCTACCTTCATAGATAAGGGATGTGAGGTTTCCAAATTAACCAATGTTTAATAAAATCTTCACTCACTATAAATATATCAAAGGAATAAAAGAAAACTTCTGAGCAAGCCAAATTTTTGAACATCTTACCTTTCATTCACTTTTGATATTTTTTCCTAGTTTTCTTACTTACTCTTCATCTTTCCCACCTTTCATATCTACTTTTTCCTTTCCCAATTTTGTTGCCCAAAAATTAACCAATCAGATACTGCGTATTAGATATAATTATTTACTTAACTGTTTACACAGGACACAGATATACTACTCCTAGAGAGAAATGCTTAACAAGTGTCTTTTTTATGGGTACTATTCAAATGAGATATATATATATATATATATTATAAATGCTTAAACTTTTTTAATGGATACCCATACTTGAATAGATGTAGATGCTGTTTTTTCACTTATTTCTTAAACAGAAAATTTATTTCTGGAGAGCACATATATTTCTAATAAGATAAAATATTCAGGTCTGTAGATGGAAATAAATAAATATACTGTTTAATAAATAAATGAAAAAAAAAAAAAAAAACATCTACTCAAATAGAGATATCCATTAAAAGTAACATTTAAGTAATAAATTAAAATGTCAGATTAATAAATGAAAAATCCATTCTCACACACTATATATATATATATATATATATATATATATATATTTGTATGACTGGATTTTTCATTTATTAATCTAATATATATATATATATATATATATTTGTATGACTGATTTTTCATTTATTAATCTAATATATATATATATATATATATATATATATTATATTGTATGACTGGATTTTTCATTTATTAATCTAATATATATATATTGTATGACTGGATTTTTCATTTATTAATCTAAAATATATATATATATATATATATATATATATATATATATATATGAATGGATTTTTCATTTATTAATCTAATATATATATATATATATTGTATGAATGGATTTTTCATTTATTAATCTAATATATATATGTAGTATATGTAGTACAAGTAAGAAAAAGCATGTATAATTGTTTTATTTGATATTTTATACAGTTTAACATAATGTTGACCATTTATTGGCTTCCTTGAATTGATGACATTCAAATTGAGAATGTAGTTAAATGTGGTGGTCTCCTGGCTTCTTTTATGAAATGAGAGATTTAATGGATACAGTTCTTTAAATCAAGATTTTTTTTTTATTCTACCCATGATGCCCTAGTGTTAATGAGGCCTTGGATAGGACAAAAAAAACTCTCACTTACCTCATAATTGTTCTTCACAGCGGCCATATTGTCTGACAGACATTCCTTACTTTGTAGTATTTGCTCCTAAAATTATAAAAAAAAAAAAAAATTATATCAAAAAGTGATGGATAAACAAGGAACATAAAACTTGGACATCAGAGGAAAGCATTTCATGAATCACATTTTCCATTAAATATTACTCACCTTTTCATGCAACCAGCTGTCAAATTCATCACACTGGTTGTAAAAAGAGAAAAGACGTACAGAATCCTCCAATGAAATCTGGCGAGCCTGAAAAAGTGCAAGAGAAATACCAGGTTTTAGTTATGAACAAAAGCAAGAGTAAAAATGAAAATAAAAAAGACCACTGATTTTTCATGGCAAAAACATTTGGGAAGTTTAGGTTCATGCCTTTTACTGAAAGAATTAGCATGAATACTATAGTAGCTAAATAAAATCTGAACTTTAACATTCATGCTGAATCTGTAGATAAATTAAAAAAAAAAAAAAAAAAAAAAAAAAAAAAAAAGAAAAAAAAAAACAAATATATAAACACATATATATATATATATATATATATATATATATATATATATATATATGTGTGTGTGTGTGTGTATATATATATATATATATGTGTGTGTGTGTGTGTGTATATATATATATATATATGTGTGTGTGTGTGTGTATGTATGTGTGACCCTGGGTTTCACACCCTTTGCGATTGTCAAAGGGTCACAAACTCACATCAATGCAAGTAACTATGTGAGCTCTATCACTGATATTGATTGCTTTTCAGTAAGTACCACACACATTTTATATATATATATATATATATATATATATATATATATATATATATATATATATATAATAATAATTCAGTCCATTAGGTTATGAATTGATGAATTTGTGAGTAGTGGTACTATATCAAGTCTATTCAGTTTCTTTGTCACTAAGGCCTGTTGGTACAGTTACTTGTGTTGTATCAAAACAGTCTGGGCCGTCCAGTGCTTTCTGCATTATGTTGCAGATTCTTCTAGACTCAATGAAGAATTATGATTTGCCTAAATCCCCAAAATTCTATTACTATATATATATATATATATATATATATATATATAAAAAGAAAGAACAGTAAGATATATAATCCGGTGTTCTTGTAGGTATTTTATTTTTACAAAATAGTGCTCGATGTAAATTTACAGAGCATTAATATTATAAATTAATTGATTTAAAATGTTTTTTCCATACACAGTTCTAACCATGTTTCAAAAATTTTTGAAACCTGGTGAGAACTGTGTGAAAAAAAAAAAAAAATCAATTAATTTAAATATATATATATATATATATATATATATATATATATATATATATATATATATATAAAATAAAAATAAAGAAATATAGTGTGCTATATTTATGGGATAAAGTGCTCAATATCAGAGATAGAGCGCATATATATATATATTTTGGTGCAGATCCTGGTGGTTAGGTTTTCTTTTGAACCATGTGACTGGTCTGAATCTCACTATGGTGAGTTTGTCAAGAATTGATGTTGTCAGTCTGCTGAGGTGATTACAACACCTTTGGAAAGTGCCTGAAAATCATGCCAGTTTGATCCAAACCTCGAGTAAAATTGGACAGATAAAACTGTTTTAAGGCTTTTTACGATTGCATTGGCACAAATTTACACATTAAGATCGAGTATTATAATATACTGGCCTTGTTCAGACTTTTGATCATGCCAAATGATGCACTCACTCACAAACTCTAATGTCCAGTTTGCATCATAAACCACTTTTCAGTCACCATTGACTCGTATCTATATCTAAACTATCTGATATTGAATGTTCCTCTCATAAGTATTCATAAACTTTGAGGAGCACTCACTAATATATATATATATATATATATATATATATATATATATATATATATATATATATACATACATACATGTACACACACAAAGTTTTGAGAAATTGGAACACTTAACATTCTTGTTGATCCTAGAAAGGAATACAATTTTTTTTTTCTTTTACTATTAATTTCTTTCATCTTTATTTCAGTTGCTTTATCTTGCAACACTCAGATCAGACTTCTGTGATTATTAGCAAGCAGTATGAATCAAAGAGCTCACATCTGTCTTCAAGTCTTTTTTTCAGTATCAGCTGCCTTACTGATTAGGCTACAGTGGTATAGTGAAATAAACATGTCTGTATACTCCTTCTACAATGAAATGAACTTGTCTGTTATTGGTTTTTATACACTGTTAGCTTCGTTATGAAACTCTGGTATAAAATAGCAATAAGAATGTTCAGATTCAAAATAATAAAATCGGGTGGGGGATGGTTTGCAATTCCAAGTGTCTTAAATGAATCTTGCAAATCCAAAATGTTGGGAGGCATAAATCAAAAGTAGTAAAAAAAAAAAAAAAAAAAAAAAAAAAAAAAAAAGTCTTTATCCAAAACTAGCAACACGCAAGTACCTTTCTCACTCACAAAGAACACAAAGAACAAAAACAGCCAATCATGCAATGTGACATTCTTTTATTGGGATAAGGTAGGTTATAATTGGTCAAGAATGGTAGGAAAGTACAAAGAGTTACCATATTTTGTGGCCTACTAAATTTGACAATCTTTCTTCTGATTGTCTTTTTTGACATCACAGCATGAATTCATTTTTCAAGGTAAGACTTTTTCCTTCATCACAACAGAAACAAAATTAGAACTGAAATGTAAATATCTAAAAGGCTCCTTACATATATCCAACCTTTTCAACTCAAATAGTTCCAATACAAAATATATAAAAGTAACAAAGCAAAGTTACCAGAGGACAACTTTTGAAAGCCCAGGGTGATTAAAACTGAGCATTTTGTTTTTAATAAGTGGATTTAATTTGGCCTGCAAAATAATTCAAAATCACTTGCATTAAGCCTTCAATTTGCTAAGTGTCAATCATCATTTTCTGTTTCCTTGAAGTCCTTGTATTGTTCTTTGTTAGTAATTTTTTTTTTTTTTTAGTTTGCTTAACTATTGTCTTTTATCCTCATTAACCTGTGGGAGATTACCCTCACTTTGTCCATAAAGACACTGTAAGGTGGCACTGTTTAAGCACTATAAAAGAAGAAACAAGCTTTCTTTTTGTCTTTCAACCTAGCACAGGGGAAGTAGCAACACCAACATGAGAGTTATCTATACAGGTGAGATCTTTCCTGGTGACTGAACTTCTCACTCACTCTCACACACACAAAATTGCTAAGCATTTACCAGTATGCATGCTCACACAATTTCCCCCAAAATTTTTTGTGAAAATATATCATTATTTTAAATAATGAAATGTTTATTTGCTTGCCATTTACATGTTAAAATACTGGCTGCCACTGCTTTTAATTTAGCTAGAAATAGTGGTTGCAACATCCTTGCATCTTAGTGGCTTTATTGCTTTACTTGGAGTGAAATGGGAAAAATACATAAGTAACCCAATTTGCCAACTAAAACCACAGCAATTGTTCAAAGCTTTATGCCTTAAGTTGTAATATATTTGTTAATTATTAACCAAACACATTCAAGAGAAATGGTACTTACATGTGCCAACTTTTTCAGTTTGTTATAAGTAAACTGAATTTGCTTCTGGCGACTTTCAACATTGTCTTTGTCAAAATGAAGATTAGCTTTGGAACGAACTGTCAACAAGAATAAAAATCCTATTAATCCACATATAAACATTAGCACTACTTAAAATTGTCCACTAAAAAAAAAATAAAAATAATATAGAGAAAATATTCCAGTGAATTTTTGTAGGTGAACGTTCTTTATACATTCAAGCTACACTTGTCAGAATAAAAAATATTTTTTTTAGCAAAAAGTAACCTCTTGCATCTTAGTGGCATTATCGTCTTGCTTGCAGTGAAATGATTAATATATAATAAATAATTGCGTAATTTCATAAATGTTTCATTAATGACAACTGACCAAGTACAGCAATTAAGCTTTCTATTAAATTTTTTTGTGTTCATATAAGCATTTTCTTTTTTGGACATAAAGTGTGTAAAAACTATCTCAATGTTTTGCATATCCAAGCACTTTCAGTTATTCTTTGAGTCATTATCAAAGATGATTTTTTATTTTTTTTAACTAAATGTATGGATTGATTTAATGTTTACATCTTGAGTTATAGGAATGTTTTATTTTGCAAACATGGTCCCAGCACATTGTGGCTGTGTTCATAGTAGATGTTACTGAGTGTTGGTTTTGAGTTTTTTATAATTCATAGTCCTATATATATATATATATATATATATATATATATATATATATATATATATATATATGTGTGTGTGTGTGTGTGTGTGTATATATTCACAAATGTCATAGTGTCACTTTTCCCACTTTTTACTCCTAGAGGCCATAGCCCAACATACCATTTTGGAATCTGGCAGACTTCATGAGCAAATTAAAAACCTTCTGATCCAGATCCAGAGTTCTTAAACTTTGGATTCCCAAGTTTTGCTTACTGTGATTTTTTTTCTGTCAATTTTTTATGCATTTTTTTCTTTTTTTGGCTATAAATTTTTTTGCATGATAATTTTTATAAATTGGAAATAAATTTGTGAATAATCAAAATTGCAGAATCCAAAAAACAGTCACCCATGAAATAATTGTTTGCACAGAAAGTATATCAAATTGTCTTTAAGTGTCAGCAGAAGAATTATCGTTGAGCTTTTAAAATATAAGCTTAAATACTAATTTGATACTTAAATGCAGCAATCAATTTTGAGTTCTACTGTAGTTTATCATATCATATATCTACTCCCAACCTATTGTGATGAAGACCCAATCAAGAAACCCCCACAGGAGGTAGCTTAAATTCTGCTTAATAGGGTGTGTGTGTGTGTAGGGGGGAGAATCAGCAGCTGTTGGCGCTAATGCATTACTCTTCATGAGTGAATAGAGCTGTTTGGTGTTTGTTTACATTTCTAAAAACAATACACTAGAATTTGTCTTTCTCTCTGCCAAAGCGACGATAGCTTAGGGGTAGAAACACCAACTGATACCATATCAGTCAGGTTTCGATCCTGGCTTGAAGCATTCAGCTGTCTAGTCACATTGATGAGCTGTGATACAGCAAAACAGGCCTGTATGCCAATGACATTTTTTTATATTATATATATATATATATATATAAGCAAGTGTAAATGGATATAAATCCGACAGAATGAAGAAAAATTTTGAAAAAACAAACAAAAATCCTAAAATGTAATTTAAAATGAATGAAATGTCGACGTCTGACGTTTCACGTTTAATAAACCTTTTTCAAAACAAAATTCATTCAAAATAATCAAAACAGTTCAATATGACAAAAGTCTGATGGACATGTGAACACAAGTCTTATCAAAAGACATAAAGCTGATCATTTTAAAAATTTTTTTCTGTTTTGGATAAGACTTGTGTTTTTATGTCCATCGTCCATTTGTCATATTGAACTGAATTGTCTTTTTCATGAATATTCCTAAAAAAAGGTTTATTAAAAATAACGTCAGACGCCAACAAATTTCATTTATTTTAACTACATTTAAGGATTTTTGTTTGTTTTTTCAAAATTTTTCTTCATATTATATATATATATATATATATATAATTATTTATTTAAAAATATGATTCCAAATCGCATATATATAATATTTGATCTTTATTTAAAAATCTTTTTAAAATAAAATTCTTTTTTTCATATGCAGATATTAATGACATCTTATCGCAAGCAAGGCAACAATGCCACCAGAAAGCCTGGGCCAGGGTGTGGTGTGGTGTGGTGAGGGTTACAGGGTGTGAAAGTGAATGAGAAGACTGAAAATGAGGAAGAATGAGAAAAGGGCAAAAAAGGAACAGGGTTCAAGGACACAGATAGCCACTGATGTTGCATTAAAATTTTGAATATTGTTATCAGGAAACCAAGAAATCAAAGTTCCACAGGTGAAAAGTGCAGGGGAAACTGACTAAAGTCGAGATGCCTGGTCAGGATAGATTTTATTGCAGACCTTTCTTTGGATTTTGTCAAGGATCCAGAGATGTGCAATAGGAGCACCAGATCAGATATAGCAACAGTTAATCAACATATGGACAAATGGTAGATTTGTAAAATGTGTTCTGACATTTTTTTGGCATGATACAATGAACCAACCTTCCTTGCAGCAGATGTAGCAATATAGTCACTCCACTTCATATCAGTGAAAAACCCAAGGCCAAAAAGACAGTGTTGCTCTCATGGAGTTCAGTATCAGCTATTGTGATG